GGTGATATCTCGGGGCGGTTTTAATTTGATTTGCATTTCACTAGTAACTAGTGATTTTGAAAATCCTCCCATGGGCTTCTTTGTCATCTGCATATCTACTTTGCTAAAATGGTCAGATCTTTTAACTCTTTTTTTAAATTGGGTTGTTGGAGAGTTATTTAGGGACTCTTGATCTTGATAAGTTTTGCAGGTATTTTCGCATGGTCCGTGGCTTGCCTTTTCGTTCTCTTAACAGTGTTTTCAAAAGAGCAGATTTTTTACAAGTTTTCATGAAATCTAATTTATCCTATCTTTGATGAATCATTCTGTTAGTGGCATGGATGATCTCTGCATAACTCAAGGTCACAGGATATTTTCCTAGGTCTATTTCTAGAAGTCTTATAATTTTATGCTTTGCAATTAAGTCTGTGATCCATGTTGAGTCAAATTTGAAAGGTGTGGATCGAGGTTCATTTTTTCACTGTGGATGACCAATTGTTCCGGTGCCCCTGATTGAAAGAACTATCCTTTGTCCACTGAATTCCCCTTGCAGCTGTGCCGAAAACAAATTGGTCACACATGTGGGGATCTATTTCTGGACTCCATTCTGTTCCACTGATCCAGCCTTTCATCAGTACCAGGCTGCCTTGATTACTATAACTTTAGAGTAAGCATTGAAACAGAAAATGTGAGTCCTCCAACACTGTTCTTCTTCTCCTAAATTGTTTTGGTTATCTGAGATCTTTTGCCTTTCCCTATAAACTGTCAAATACGCTTGTTGATTTGTACAGGAAAATGTTACTGAGACTTTGCAGGGATATACATTTATAGGTCCTTTTGGAAAGAATTTAGCATTTTAACAATGTAGGCTTTCAGTCAATGAACACAGTATATCTCTCCATTTAGTTAAGTCTTTGATATCTTTCATCATTGTTTGTAGTTTTCAGCATATAGATCTTGCACAGATGTTGGATTTATACCAAAGTTTTTCATGGTTTTTTGGTTTGTTTTGATTTTTGGTACTATTGTAAATTGTACTGCTTCTGAAATTTTGGTTTCTTATCGTTCATTGCTAGTACAGAAACATGCAGTTGAGTTTTGTATATTGACCTTGTATCCTGCAACCTTGCTAAACTCACTTATGATCAGTTCTGGTAGTTTGTAGATTCCCTTATGTTTTGTGTGTAGATAATCATGCCATCTGCAAATAGAGACAATTTTATTTCTCCCTCTCTAATCTGTCTCTGTTTTTATTTTCCTGCCATATTACACTGTCTGGGACCTCTGGTATGATGCTGAATAGGAGTGGTGAGAATAGGTATCTTTGCCTCGCTCCCAATTTAGGGGAATTACATTGAGTGTCTTGCCATTAAGCATGATGTTAGCTATAAGTTTTTGGTAAAAGCCTTTATTTCTTTCCGTTACCAGTTTGCTGAGAATTCATCATGAGAGAGTGTTGAATTTTGTCAAGTGCTTTTTCTGCATCAATTAAGATGATTATATGCTTTTTCTATATCTGCTGATATGACGGATTACATTGGCTGATTTTCTGATGTTGAACCTGCCCTGCATTTCAGGATAAACCTCACTTGGTCATGATCTATTATCCTTTTTATATTTTGCCAAAGTTGATTTGGTAATATTTTGTTGAGCATTTTCTTCATTCATGTTCACAAGCAATATTCGTCTATAGTTTTCTTGTAATATCTTTGGCATTAAGATAATGCTAGCCTCATAAAATGAATTAGGAAGTGTTTCCTCCTTTCCTGTTTTCTAGAAGAGTTTGTGTAGAATTAAGAGTATTTCCTCCTTGATTGGTAGTATTTACCAGTGAAGGCACCTGACCTGGAGTTTTCTTTATTAGAAAGTTGTAACTGTGAATTTCATTTCTTTGATAACTACGGGATTATTCCGGTTATCTATTCTTTCTTTTCTTTCTTTTTCCCTACCCATCCCCCCACCCACCTCCCCTCTGGTAATCACCAGTTTGTTCTCTGTAATTATTTAAGAGTCTGGTGTTTTGGTTTGTCTCTTTTTTGCTTTGTTCATTTGTTTTGTTTCTTAAATCCCACATATGAGTAAAATCACATGGTATTTATCTTTCTCTGACTTATTTCGCTTAGCATTACACTCCCTAGATCCATCCATGCTGTCGCAAATGGAAAGATGTCATCCTTTTTTATGGCTGAGTCTTCTTGCCTGAGCCAGCTTTGGTAGTTCATGTCTTTCAGGCAACTGCTCATTTCATCTCAGCTGCAAATTCTAGGGAATAAAGTTGTTTGTGATGTTCCTTTATTATCTTTGTTATGTCTGGAGAGTCTATAGCAATTCCTTCCTTCCTAACACTGTTAATTCTGTCTTCTCCTTTTCTGCCATGGTCAGTCTAGCTGGAGGTTTATCAATTTTGTTCATCTTTCCAAAGAGCCAGCTTTTTTGTTTCATTAATTTTCTTTCTCGTTTTCCTAATTTTAAGTCCATTGATTTCTGTTCTTGTCTTTATCACTTCGCTCCTTCTGATTACATTTGCCACTCTTTTCCTGGTTTCTTAAAGTAGAAGCTTGGGGAATTCATTTGAAACCGTTTTTTATTTTCTAACGTAAGCACTCGATGTTATAAAATTCCCTCTCGGTACTGCTTTATTTGCATTATATAAACCTTGATATGTTGTGTTTTTATTTTTAGTCAGTTCAAAATATTTTCTACTTTCCCTTGAGATTACCACTTGGATCCATAGGTTATTTAGAAGTATGTTTAACTTTCAAATCTTTGGGAATTTTCAGATACCTTTCTGTTAGTGATTTCCAAATTTATTACATTATGATCAGAGAACACTTTGTCTGATGTCATTTCTCTTCAGTCTGTTAGGATTTGTTTTATTGTCCAGAGGAAGGTCTACTTTGGTGAATGTTCAATGTGCACTTGAGAAAAATGTGTATTCTGCTGTTGGGTGGAATGTTCTAAAATGCCACTTAGGTCAAGTTGATAGGATTGTCCAGGGCTTTTATATCCCTACTGATTTTCTGTCTTTTTATTCTTTCAACAGCTTAGAGAGGACAATGCTGAGGTCTTCAACTATAATTGTGGATTTGTCTATTTGTCCTTTTGGTTTCTGCTGCATGTATTTTGGAAAAGCCATGCCCCCCTCAACTTGGGACTCCGTGTTATTAAATGCTGTGCCCATGCACTTGCTAAAATCACCTTGCAAAGTTGCAAGCTGTCAAGGAATGAGTGCTCAAAACAGAGGCCTTGAACATCAGGGCCACTGGGAGGAGCAGATTCTCCTTCATTGCTGACCACAGAGCATTTTGGCCCAGCATCCCACAGGGCCTTTCAGTCAGCAAGGTGTCAGAGGGCAGTGCACAAAGAAAGAACTGATCCCAAGGTGGGGCTCAGGATCTGGAGTAACTATGCTCAGGTCCTTACCCCACCCCAGGTGACCTTGGGCAAAGCCCTTGACTTCTTGGATCCTCATTTCCGTAAGTCAATCAACACGCAGAAATTGAATGTCTCAGCTAGGTGCTGGGAAAAACCACATGAGATAAAGTGTGGGTTCTCGCCCTGAAGATGCTTACACACTCTCCTTCCTATTACTTGGGGTTCCTGAAGAACAGACGAATCCCTGCATGTGTTACCTGGCCTCCTTTCTGCTGGTAAGCGTTTAACAAGGGCTTTGGGTGGGAGAAGCCTATTGGTGGCATTTGCCAGATCCCATGGTGTAAGTACTCCCTCCATGACATGTTCCAAGCTACCAGCATGACTCCGTGGGTGTGGAGTTGGGAAGAGACCCCCCAGGCATACACCATCATAGGGCATTTCCACTGTAGAGAAACAGTGGAGGTAAATCACCCCAAGGGCATAGAAAGTAAAGTGTAGTGAATTAAGCCAGGGGGTGATACGTTCTGGGTATTTACTACCTTTGGTTTTAATATAATTCATTTAATTATAAACTTATATTATTTAATTTTAATACGGCCTTGTTTAACCACCTATATCAACATTCCTGGTCATTCAGCCATCAGACCTTTGCTCACAGAGACCCAATCCCAACTCAGACAAGTCTCAGACAATCTCCGCCAACAGGGAACGAATTGGTTCATAGGACAGGAGCTTCCACAGTAACTCTTCAGCAAAGGGTTTTGGGTTTTCTGTTTCCAGTCATCTCCCTGCTAGGGGCCAGCCCCAGTCCTGGAGAGCCAGGGACATGCAGTGCTCTGATTGGCCAGCCATGGCCACGCCCCTCCCTGGGGCCAGGGGTGGAGTTAGAACTGGGGGACCAGAGCCCTGAGCAGGAGCCTCTGGGGAACATCTGGGCAATTAGGGATGGATGTGTGGCTGTCAGAGCAGTGAGGGTCTACCACTTGCAGTCTTAGAAGCACTGGGTTCACTGAGATTCCTTAGAAGCGTTCAGGTTGAGGCTTTTCAGTCTTGAGATGTTTTTAGACCTTTGGTGCTCAGGGTTTTCAAATTTCAGAAGAAACACATACTTGTTTTAACAAAGGAAATGGTAAATATAAACCGCTGATAAGAGCACACACAGTTTCTCATCTCCCCAGCCTCCGGTGCCACCCCGTTCCCCACCCCACCCCCATTCCCGTTGTTGGCAGTCTGTGCAGAGGGGGTCCCTCCCACACCCCTCTCCTGGCTCCGCAGCCCAGACACGCTTTCACGTGGCGGATTTTGTTGTGCTTTTGCGGAAGTGGCCCCAGACCACACACGTGATTCTGCAGCTTGCTTTCTCTCACCGCTGGATAAATCCTGGGCTTCCCGACCAGTCCAGAGAGACAGCCCTGCAAACGTTAAGGCTGGCTCTAGCTAGACTGAGAGCCGGAGGCCTTTTCATTCATTGCTCCCACTGAAGGCGTGGAAGTGCAAAGACCTCTTGAGATTTCTAAATTTGGTCAGAGTGTAGGAGGCTGTGCAGGGTGCTGATGCACTAAAAATACCAGCCCTGGTCTGGGGTGCAGGCTGCCCTGGGTGGGAGCACAGCCACGATTCGGGACAGGTTTGTGCAGGCTCCTCCTATGACCCTTGGCCTCTCCACGGCCACTCAGTGCCCCAGGCCACAAGGATGGCCACAAGGATGGCCAAGTGGCCCTGGACTCCAGGCAACCAGCCTGTGATTACAAAAGCTGCCCCACACTGAGTTCCTTTCCCCTGGGGTCTTGTTACCCCGTCGTTCAATACCACTGCAGGAACTGGACCAGACTGGGTACCAACTCGCTGATATTTAATCCTTTTCAACTCACTTTTAAGAATCAAATACATTTATTTTCAACTGAAACCACACAACACGACCGTAAATGGAAAACCAACATCACCTGTCATAAATGGTGATTATATGTGGATAGACAATATATAGCATGATAATAAATAATGTTACTGATCTTTTTGAGCATTTGTTCTGAGCCAGGAACGGCTCCAGATGCCACAGTATTAACTCACTTAATGAGTTGCAGTAGTGTGTTTCCCTTCCTCTGTTGTCCCATTTTGTAGAGGCTCAGAGCAGTGGCCCTAAAAAGAGACACATCATCACTGAAACCAAAGGCAAGGACCACCTCAAGCACCGGGGCACCTCAGCTGTGCAGGACCCTGGTTCTGACTTGCTTTCCGCATTCGCTTCCTCCACTCATCTACTCAACAAGTGTTCACTGAGCCCCCAGCGTGTGCCCTGGCTGGGGAGGGGGAGTGGGGGGGCTCTGTCCCTGCCCCGGAGGAGCCCGCCTGCTGAAGGAGAAGGGTGCATATGGACAGGCCTGTGGTGGGTGCCTCCGAGCTCCAGAGGTGGGAGGGGAGAGGGCCTCCTCCAGCCTAGGCTGGGGGCGGAGGGGTGACACTGGGCAAAGTTTCTCAACTTTTAAGGATGATAGGAGATAGGTGAGTGGAGTCAGGGGCGGGAAGAGGGGAACAAGGCAATTCAGGTGCATTAAAAAGATGGATCGAAGTAGGTTTCCTGTCTTCATTGACACCCCTATCGTTGATGTACTAAGGAGGACTGGACCTCAGTTTCTTCATCTGTCAATGGGAATAATGGAGCCAGTCTCCTAGAGTAACATCCACGAGGAAGAACCTGTCACACAGTCTACAAAGCATTCTGGCAGTTCCTGCCATGGGGTGAATGCTCACAATGTCCCCACTAATAATGACAATGATGAGTATTGCTTCTGGCAAGCGGTAGTGTTTTCCATTTACTGTAGCAGCATAGTAAAGATTTTTTTTTTTTTGAAGTATTGGATTTTTCAGAGTGAGTTAAGAAGTGGCACGCTCGCAGCAAGCTTAAGCTAATATCCGCATCCCCGTGTTTGTTCTCATTTGCACACACCTTGGAATTTTACAAATATACAACAAAATTCACCTGTAATGTCCACCTGTCCCTTTTCTCTCCCTGAGACTTTATTTAGAAAGAAGTGGAAATCCAAGGCTATTCTTTTAAATTAATAGCAATTCACTTACTTGATGGGGGATTTAAATGCCTTACCAAACGGTAAAAGCAACCTAATAATGAGCAATATTTGTAAGTAGCACAACTCCCAGCATGGGGCTTTCTAAATCTGATCTAGATGGGCACAACATTCATCTTTTACAACCGAAGTTTCTCTTTGCAGAGTGATGTGGCTCTGCAAGGACATCTATCAGAGTAACCAAGCCTCAACTAGGAGATGGTGACTTTTCCCCTTCTCTCCCCACGTCCAAATGTGCTCAGCATGGTGTCAAGGAGGAAGCTGGTGCTTTAGGGGAAATTAAAAATCTGGAATTATTGTTTAATCAGGCGACAGAAGAAAGAGCGCAGGCTGAGTAAGACCAGCCTGGTCTTGGATTCCTGCTACCTCCTCCCATTTGTAAGGGATGCCAGCTAGTTCTCACTCTGTAAGACAGGCCACCCCTTGGATTCTTGATCGTGCTTGGCACAGACCCTGGTACCTAGGAAGTGCTAAGCAGTATCTCCTACCATTATTACTATCTGTATAGACGGAGGGTAATCCCACCTTTTCTGCAAGGGACTTTGAGGATCACATGGGATAGCCCTGAATGGCATCTGCCCTTTAGAAAGAGCCTTAGAAATTTGGCCAGAGCTTTGCCTAGACACCCCCGGTGCTGAGCGGGGCGAGATCGAAGGTCAAAGCCATCTCACACGGCCTGTAAAAGAGAAACAGAATCCCAAGTAAAGAGAGTTGAAGTTGCTGCTTTTTGAACTTTTCTTTAGAGGGAGTACAAGCCTGGGAGAAACACGTGCCAGCTCCTTGTCCCCCCCAAGCACCCTGTGCCCCTGCCCACATGATGCCCAGACAGAGCCTCGGCTGATGCAGGATGCCCACCGAGCCCACAGCTGCAGTGCGAGTGCGGAGCATGTGCTGACCCCATGACAGTGATGACCGTGGGATTACCAACCCATGGCGAAAGTTCCAGGCTCTCCCCAGTGCAAGCAGTTGGCGCTGATTATCTCATTCAATCAACCATCCCTTGAGGGAAATGCCATCATTATTCACCTTTTACAAGAGAGGAAAGCAAGGCACAGAGAAGTCAAGAAACATGCTCCAGGCTCCCCAGCTCTCACGTGGAGCCAGGATTTGAACCCAGGCAGTGTGACTCGGAAGCCCGGGTGCCCGAGCCGCCCTGGCCTGCCTCCCCAGCCACTGCCAGAACTGGGGGCTGATGTGGGCACCCCACCATCTAGGCCTCAACGAAACGACCACCCTTGGCCACTTGGTCCTTAACCTCAGACGCAGAGCTGTCCTCTGGGAGAGCCGGGCGGAGGGTGGAGACAAGAGAGGTTCTCTGCCTTGGGCACATTTCAGGAGGTATTGTCAGATGGGGAAGTGTGTTCCAGAAAGAGTGAGCTGGCCTTGGCGAGCTGTGCGTTCGGGGAGGAGCTAGCCAGGGAGGCAGGGAACCCCCGAGGCCGGAATAACAAGGACCCGTCCAGGACAGCTCAGAAGTGGGGAGGAAAAGGACGCTGTGGCTCAGCGTCCCGGCCTCCCTGCTCACACCTGACCTCCACCTGACTGGCTATGTGCAGGCCGAACACAACCGGGGGCCTAATTGCTAAACGACAATTCAGTTTCTGGCAACAAATCCGTTCGTGACCTCACGGACACCCAGGACTTCATTCCCGCGGTAAGCAGACTGCCGCCTTCCAAAGATGTCAGGCCTCCAGCCACAGGACGCTGGATTCTGCCGACGACCTGATGAGCAGGAAACGGACTCTCCCCCGGAGCCTCCAGAAGGAACGCAGCCCCTCGAGGCCCGTGTGGGACTTGTGACCTCCAGATCTGTAAGAGAAGAAATCGCGGCTGTTCGAGCCACTAAGTGGATGGTCATTTGGTACAGCAGCAGGATGAAACAGACCCAATTCTTATTTTATTTCGGTTAAAATGTTGATCGGCCAGTGGAAGTGGCACTGATGCAAGGTGTGCTGGGTACCTTGTAGTCATTTGGTCCAAAACCTGCATCTGCGTTTGGCCAGGAGGAGGCGAGCCAGGAAGGCGGCTTCCCCCCGCCCCTCAGGACAGGAGGCCGGGTCAGCCAGACACCAAAGACGCACCAAGCATGCCGTGCGCCCATTTTCTTTGAATATCACGACGTCCTCTGTGCCTAAAAAGGAGACGGTTCTCAGACTCGTAGAAGAGGGTTCTGCCGAAAGACACACTAAAGACTTTGTTATTCTACTTCAGTTATTTTGAAGGTGAACAAAAGAGGCCCAGAAGGGTCAAGCGGCTCATCTAAGGCCACACAGCCAATCAACTTAAATGGAACGACACTGTTATATCAAGCTCCCACCTGTCATCAGACGGTCCTTCTGAACAGATCTGATTTGGCAGAACATAGCAGAAAGTGTGGGGTGTCCCCAGTATCTGTGTTCCGCCCTCACCTCAGTTATAATTTTAGCTGGTCGCAGGACCACCCAGGATAAAGACACATTTTCCTTGCAGTGAGGTGTGGCCATGGGACATAGCAGTGTGGAAAATGTTCTTAAAAGGAGCAGAGGTGGGGCACCTGGGTGGGTCAGTCGTTGGGTGTCTACCTTCGTCTCGGGTCGTGGTCCTGGGATCGAGCCCCGTGTTGGGCTTCGTGCTCAGCGGGGAGCCTGCTTCTCCCTCTCCAGCTCCCCTGCTTGTGTTCCCTCTCTCGCTGTCTCTCTCTCTGTGTCAAATAAATAAATAAAATCTTAAAAAAAAAGAAAAAAAGGAGCAGTTCCTTCTCTGTTCCTTTCTCTTCCCCACCCCCAGCTTGGAAAGGAGATTCAATGGCTGGAGCTCAAGCAACAATTTTGGAGCATGAGGATGGCAGAGTCACAAGTTGAAAAAGGCAGAGACTCCAAAACTTGGTGAAGCCTCTCTAGCCAAAACTAAGTTAACCAATAAAGGAGGGGAAATTCACTTAGCAGGTTTTCTGAGAGATAAAACATGGTATTTCACAGACAGCTTTTTAGTAAAGACCTTGCATGCCCTCCATGCCTATTGCTGACCCTTCTAAATACCCACCCTGGGGAGGAGCCTGTTGGGTCCCCTTTCTAAGGTGATGCCTTGTCTGCAAGGTCCAGGATGTCTCAGCCCTGTGCACCCCTTGCCTCAAAGAGTGCTTCCCATTGGCTATGCCAGTCACATGACCATACCTAAACCCCAGAGAGGCTGGGAAGTGTAGGGTATATTCTGGGCAGCCCCTGCTCCCCGTCGGGGGTCCGTTACTATGGGGAGAAAGGATGTTAGAGGTTACTAAGGTCCTTGCCATGTGGGGGTTTGACAGCTACTGAGGAAAAATAAATTCAATAAGGAAGTTCCTTCTTGTCGTATAGGCACAGAGCTGTGTTGTCCCTACCTCGAGCTCTTATGCAGAGACGAATACTGAAATCAGGGTTGTCCCAGAAAATCCAGGCTGTGAGTGCATGTTTCCCGCTGCCACGGAGTCAGGCTGCCTGCATTCGGAGCGCAACGCCGTCACCTACTTAGCTAGGCGACTGTATGGGTTTCCGACAGCTGCTATAACAAAGCACCACAACGTCAGCGTCTTAACACAACACACAATTGTCCTCTTACAGTTCTGGAGTTCGGACGTCTAGAATGGGTCTCACTGAGCTGAAAGTCAAGGTGTCGGCAGGGCTGCGTGCCTCCTGGAGGCTCTGGGGAAAAATCTGTTTTCTTGCCTTTCTTAGCATCTAGAGGCCAGCCAAACTCCGCGATGGATTGCCTCTTCTCCCATCTTCAAAGCCAGGAAAGGCCCATCTTACCTTTTCCACTCCGACACTGGCCCTCCTGCCTCTCTCTTCCACGTTTTAAAAGAGCCTTGTGATGACTCTGGGCTCATCCAGATAATCCAGAATAATCTCCCCATTGAAAAGGCAGCTGATCAGCAATCTTACTGCCCTCTGCAACTTTCATTCCCCCCTGCCATGTAAGGTGACTTGTCACAGGTTACAGGGACTAGGACGGGGCCACGTCTCGGGGGGCATTATTCTGCTTCTCACGGCAACCTGGAGAAAACCACTTGTCTGAGTGTGTTTCCTCACGTCTAACTCCCATGGAGACTGCAGTGAAGGAAGAAGCCAAAGCACCAAACCCGCCACCTGCTGGCTCCGTCCAACCACTGGGCAGGTCTGCTGCTTCCATCAGAGCCCCGCAGGGAGCGCAGTTCGTAACATTTGCAAACAACAACAACAACACACACAAAATAAAACAAAACAAAAAACCATCTAGTATGCAGAAGGCGCCCAGTAAAGGGTAGTTCAGGCTACCCCTACAGGCAAACGTGCATTAACACGCTGACTCTGAAGCCTGGATGGGCACTCGAATTCCTGAGGGACCTTTTAGAACTCTTGGTGTCCAGACCAATCACACCAGAACCCCCGGGGTGGGGCCCGGCTGAGCGTCGCTCCAGGGACCCCAGCCCGCAGCCGGGGCGGAAAACCAGGGCATTTTCAGAGCTCCGCTGGCAGTCGGAGCTCAGGCAGCCTCCGGCGTTCCTCAGTGCGGCTGCCGAGCAGACCTCCCTCCCCAGCCGTCCCTGTCAGAGAGAGAAAGAGGGCAAATGTGAGCCTTGCGAAACCATTCCTGAAATGCTTGTGGCTCTAACAATGGTCCTTCGCTGCCTGAGCATCCACTTCCTGCCGCAGATATCTGAAGGCTGGCGAGAAGCTTCTGGAAGCTTCCAGCACTCAGGCAGTCCTTCACAGTGACTGGTGTGGGCTCCGCAGACGAATGAGGAGCAGATTCCAGACTCCGTCGCTCCCTTCTGTCCTAATCACAGACCCCTGGGTGTTAGAGCCTGAGCATGGGCCCCTGACACCCCTGGAGGCCCGTTCTGGCTGCTTCCCCAGTGACTACAGGACCTTTCTGCTCATTCCGGGGATGGGAAACCCTGGGCTGCTACCTCCTTGCCCGCTTTGGGGAGACGCCGACGTCTCGAAGTCCCAGATGCGAGATCAGAGTGTGCTTTCAGCATTAGTAATGAGAAAGAAGCCCACCATTTATGAAGTGGGTTGATTGCGTCGGCGAACATTTATGGAGCGCCTACTGTGTGCAGGGCTGTATTCTAAGTGCTAGGGACAGAACAGGCTGAGATACAGTCTGATGGTGGGAACAGACCCCAAAGAAAGAAGCAAGAGGCTTGCCGGGCAGGGTGGGTGGGGGTCATGGTGCTGGGGAAAATAAAGCACGGATGGGGCGGGTGGGGAGAAGAGACCGGACGAAGTATGTTTTCTCTGAGTGTGTTTCCAAAAAACATTCTAACGTTAGTTTCACGGAGAAAGAGACGGAGTCCATCTGAAGGGAGAGGTATATAAACGGAAGAGAGAACTCTCAGCTGGGCCTTCTGAAGGGACCTCGCTATTTTACCCACCAGAGCCCTGCTGCCCTCCACTCCCCAGCTGATGTGTGACCGCGTTCCTGCTACGTAAGCCCCCCCCGCCCAACAACCAGGCCCCCCACAGGATCGAGCCCTCCCAGGGCCACGATTCAAATACCTTCCAGGCCAGGCAGGCAACCAGCATGGGCGGCAGAGAGAGGCTGACTGCCTTTTCATGCGAACATTGCCCATTATTCTTACACACCGGCCGCTCTTTTGTGATTTTTAGAAACATTCCCGTTTGCTAGAAGACACCATCTGCACTAGCTTTGCCTGTGGACCTCCATCTCCCCTCTCAGCTGGCTGCTCTGGGTTCCCTCTTGGTCCTCCTCGGAACACGGAGTCTCCCCGAGGCTTCCCAGGACCCAAAATAGCCACAGGCAGGCTATTTTTACAGGACTCTGACAGGACAGGTCTGAGGGGCCAAGCGCCAGGGCGGTGCTGGGACTGGAACCCTTCATTATCCTCTATCATCCAGCACTGCATGGACTCGGGGCGGGGGGGCGCTGGAGGCATTCAGAAGCCCAGGAATGTTCCCACTGGTGACTGCCAGGGTGGAGGGAGGGCAGGCAGCCCTTGGTGGCTATAAACAGGACACCCCACGCAGGTGGAGCCCAGCGGGCGGGCGGCCACGGGGAAGAAGGCAGGTTCCTGCCCCACATCCACTCAATCTGGTCCTCTCGCGGGGCCCAAGGAAGACATTTCCCTAAACATTTGCATGGCAGTTGCCTGGGTCCTCAGTCAAAATGCATGCAAATCCAAGTGCTGTGCCCCAGAGCTAATCCTTGCCGGGCATTGTCTCTGAGATGCCCTGAACGGAATGCTCCAGGAAGAGGGAGCTCGTGTTCTTTCATCCCCCAAATGCATACTAAGCACGGGCTTTGTGCAGGCGATGTGCTGGGGGCTGGGTTGCCAGAGAGAGCAGGAAGGCCAGGGCACGCACGCCTGGGGGGGGGGGGGGGAGATGCTCATACAGAACATACCCCGTGCCCTTCCAGTAACCGGTGATGTCTGTCAAGTGTGAGGGAGGTTTGTGCCAGAATATTCTTCACAGCTCTATTTATAAGACCCTCAGACTAGCAATGCCCATCAACAGGGGATGGGGAAACAAAGGGTGCTGTATCATGATAGAATATTCTAGATCGCTGAGAACAGATGAGGCACCCAGCCACAGGGACGCAGCTCCGAACAGCCACAAGAACATACTGTGTGCTTCCACACATAGACGCCCCCAAAGCTGGAAAGTCAATGCATGCGGCTGGGAATACAGACGGTGGCTAGCTGTGGGTGGGGGGCGGTGGGGCCGGAGGGGCCTGGGGGGCATCCGGGCTCACATTCCATCTCTAGCTCTGGGCGCTGGTTACCCGGGGTACTTTGTGAAGTCTCACGCATCCGGTCAGTTAAGATTTGTGCCCTTTTTTTCACGCCTCAATAAAAAGTTTACATGAAATAATAAAGCAGGGAAGGGAGGTGAGGAGGGGAGGGTGGTCCAGGAAATAGCACTGAGATAAGACACAGGATGCCCAGTTACATTTGAATTTCAGGTAAACAAGGAATCACCTTTTAGCATAAGGAGGTCCTGGATATTGCCAGACCCACTAGGCGTGTAAGCAGGACCGTGTCCCCGGAACTGGGGCCCCTCCGTCCCACCTTGCGGCCTCTGGGCGGAGGTTTGCAAACAGCACATCTGTTCCCCAGATGGGCCGTGCTGGCGTGCTGCCCAGGCCGCGGACCCCAGCGCGTCGGCGACCCCCGGGGCAGCCCGGCTCTGCACAGAGACCTAGAACTTTCGGGCAGGGAGCAGAAAACAGGAGCCCGCAGCCGCCCAGAGGACCTCGCCGCCTCCCAGGGCAAACATGGGGAAGACACCGGTGTCATCAGAACCCGATGGATAACGGCCACCGCAGGTCCTGAGTGCTCCACAACTATTCTGTGCCTCTGCTGTGATCAGCAGCATTTATTGGATGCCTGCTGGGTGCTCCACATGCCAACGGGATCCCAGCACCTACCCAGAGCACAGGTTTGGTAAAGTCGTCAGTGCACTGAATGAATCAGGAGCTGTTGGCTTGTTACCATAACCCTCGGGGGGCTGTCACACCCCCCACACACCACACGGGGGCGGGCTTCAGAGCCCTCCCCTCCAGCCTTGGTCTCCTCCGCAGAACAGACAATGACGGCGACTGGCCCCCGAGGCAGGCGTCTCAGCCTCGCAGACAGTCCTGTGGGCTCGATGACTCTGCTGTGGGGGCTGTCGCGCCTCGGACGGGCTGCAGCAGCCCCCCTGGCCCCTCCCCGCAGACGCCAGCCACACACCCCTCCCCGTGCAACATCCAAAATGTCTCCAGACACCACCAAGCGTCCCGAGGGGGACAGAATGCTGGTTGAGGGCCTCTGGGTTGCTATGAAGATGAATGGGATGGGCTGATGTCCTGATGAGAAGGTCGCAGCGGGACACCCCCCTCCCTCCGCACTTAATAATCACTGTCAGACAGGGCCATCTGACCTCATGCCAGGGCTGGCATCTGAGCCTCACTGTGCGCTTGGACGCGCGGGACCTTGTTGGAGCGCAAGCTCGGAGGTGGCGGGTCTGCGGCGGGGGAGACGTGCCCTTGCCGCCCCCTCACCCCCGGCGCTGCCCGAGCCCTTGAGGTGCTTGTGGCCCAGAGGGGCAGGTAAAGAAGGCACACGCCAAAGGTTGTTACTGCACTGAAGTCTTTCACCTCTTCTGCGTGCTCGGAAGTGTGCAGAACAAAATCGGGCAGGTGGGAAGCAGCGCATCCGTGAAGCCTTCTATCTGTAAATGCAAACCCGTCAACTACAGCCTCAGGCCACCTTCTGTTTGTGCCAATGACCTTTATCAGCTCCAGGGCCGGGTTTTAGCGGCCGCCGTGGGACTGCATGGGGGGAGGAGGGGCGGGGCACATCTGCAGCCTGGCTCTGGTTCATGCCTTCCTTGTTTGTGGATCGTTGGGGGCGAGGGGGAGCTTGTTTTTGGGGGGGGTTGTTTTGTTTTTTTGCATTTTCATTTTTTAAAAGTTGCATTCAAATAGTATTTATCTTGATGACAGGGTTTTCTGTGCCTGAGGGAAGGCCTCCCTGGCCTCTCGCTGAGTCCCAGCCCTGCTGGAAGGGCTCCAGA